CCAAGAGGGATGGGATTTCTCAGAGGGAAGGTGTTTTAGAGGAGATGCTCGTCCTTTCTGCATCTCTGTGCCCCCCCCGGCTCCTTCCCCACCCCCACAAAAAGGCTGGGAACCAGCCCAAAATGGGGGTGAATTCAACCAGGATGATGCTGGAAACGGATCTGGGGAGAATAAAGGGACTTTATTCCTGGGATGGAGAGAGAAGCAGGGGTAAAATCCGTGGCTGGAAAAAGGGCATGGAGGTGACTGAGTTGCCTTTTTTATTTTTTTTTTAACCTTAAAAAATACAGCCCGCATCCATCCGTGGACCCACGCTGCTCGGCTCCCCCCCCACAATCACACTCATCCTTTTGGGGTGGAAAAAAACGGTGTTTTTCGTGTGTTTTTCGACTAGCTCTTCTCTTTTCTGCTGTGATTTCATCCTGGGGTCTCCCTCCGTTCATCGCCAGCTTTCAGCTCCTGCCCACCAGCGGGTGGTCGGGGAAATTTCAGGGGTGAAAATCCAGCCCAAAAACCCCCCCTCCCCACCCCGTGATTCAGTTTAGGGCTGGAGGAGCCGGGGGAAAGTCAGGGAGGGGAGAAAAACTCACTTTTGTAACAGCATGGTGAAAATGAGACTGCTTTCGGTTGCAGACAGACCGTGGCCATGGTCGAGCAGCTCTCGCTGGAGGGTTTTCCCCCAGGAGTGGGGAGAAGGGGACAACCCGGCGTGTGGGGCAGCAGCATCCCTGAGGAGCTCAGGGCTGAGCACCCGATGCTCCAGGAGATGTTGGTGCTCGAGAGCATCTCGTGGGGAGGATGGATCCAACCAATCCATACTTTAATCTGAAATCGGGGCGATTTCAGCTCTTTTTTTAATTATTATTATCCTGCTCCATCAAACTGAATCTCTTCTTGCTCATTTATTGTGTCCCAGACCTAAAAATCACCTGGTTTTTGGGGTCTCCGTGGAGCTGGGATGGGGGTGTCTCACCCTGATGGGACACATCCTTTGGTTGGGGTGTCCCCTCGGGAATCTCAGGGTGGAAGTTCCTGGCTGGAGGGGGAGGGGGGGGAAGGTTTCACCGTGGGGGGGAGGAGGAGCGTGGCCACGTGGGAGGAAGGCACGCTGGGTCAGCTCATTTCCAGTAAATGGTTGGGTTTCCCACTCGAGTCCTTGCCTCGGTGGCGTGGCATCCCCCACACCACATCCCCCACACCACATCCCCAACGTGGACCACGGGGAAAACGAACCCACAGCCACCCACGGACAGACGGACACCTGCCCAGGGCTGGTGAAATCCCCAAATCCTCAGGGAAAAGAAGAGGTGGGGAGGGAAGCTGTGGGGCAGCAAATAACCCCTTGAGAACCCAAAGGGATGGGAGAAAGAGGATGGACAAAGAGAGGGAGGGAGGGAGATGAGTGGGAGGCACCGGAGCCAGACGCATGAGTTGATGTCCCAGGGCAAGAAGGTGGTGACACCTGGAAGGGTGGGCAGGAGACCCCCGTGGGGGAGCTGGCCCCAGCCTGGTGGGGTGACAGCGTGTGGGAGATGCTCAACCGTGTTGGGGAAGGGCAGTGTGTGCTGGAGGGGCTGAGCCCAAGATAAGAAAAACGCCAGGAGAAGGCTGTGGCCGGACAACGGGGAAGCTGGAAGATGTCACCTCAGTGTGGCAGCACCTCTCCATCCCTGGGAATCCCAGTATCCCAACTCCAGGCTTTGAGCTGGCTCCTTTGGGGGTTGCTCTGTGCCCCCCACCCCCCTGCCCTGGGGGATGCTGTGCCCGGAGACAGCATCTGGGATGAGCCCCATGCGTGGTGGATACCCAGGGTGCTCACGTGGAGTGAGAAGCAGCCCAAAAAGCCCCCCACATCCTGGGCTGCACCCCCAGGAGGGCAACTCGGGGGGGATTCTGCTCCTCTGCTCCACTCTGGGGAGACCCCCCCCACCCAGTGCTGCCTCCAGCTCTGGGGCCACCAACAGCAGAAGGACATGGAGCTGTTGGAGCGGGGCCAGAGGAGGCCATGGAGATGTTGGGAGGGCTGGAGGACAGGCTGAGAGAGTTGGGGAGCTTCACCCTGGAGATGAGAAGGTTTTGGGGAGACCTTGGAGCCCCTTCCAGTCCCTCAGGGGGCTCCAGGAGAGATGGGGAGGGACTCTGGATCAGGGAGGGGAGCCATAGGACAAGGAGGAATGGTTTTAAACCAAAAGAGGGGAGATGGAGCTGAGCTGTGGGGAAGAACTTGTTTGGTGTGAGGGTGGTGAGAGCCTGGCCCAGGTTGCCCCGAGAAGCTGTGGCTGCCCCATCCCTGGAGGGGTTCAAGGGCAGGTTGGAGGGGGCTTGGAGCAACCTGGTCTGGTGGGAGGTGTCTGGATGGGACTGGCTGGTCTTTAATTTCCCTTCCCACCCCAACCATTCCGTGACTCTCAGGAGGTTTCTCACCAGCTCTGGCCTCCGATCCAGGCGGATACAGGATTTCCCGGGTCTATTGTCCTGCCCAGCAAACCCACCTCCCCCAGCAGCCTCCAAGGCTGCCAGCGAGGTCGGAGGCAGAAATAGCCCCCCCAAAACAGTGCTGGGAAAATACTCAAATGCTCCCAAGGCTTTTGTTTCAGGCTTGTGGCCGTCCCCCCCACCCCTTCCATCTCCTCCGGCCGGGAGAAGCCAGTGCTTGACCTTCCTGTCCGTGCCTGCTCCCATCGGAAGAAAAATCCCAAAATAACTGGCTGGAACAATGTGGCCACCGTCAGGGTGAGGGTGGTGGGGTCTCAGCTTTTCCCCCCAAAGCCCACAATAAACACACACCCCCCTCACCTCGGAGTGAGTCTTCACTCTGCAGCCCCGTGGTTCATCGGATAAAACACATCCCAAAAATGCCCGTTTTTTGCTGCTTTCCTCAGGGAATTTAGCAAAAATGCTCTGCTGTTTGTCCTGGATGTCACCAAGGAGAAAGGGGGAACAAGGGCTGGGGAAGGAGATGCTGCTCCAAGGGGATCTCTGTGCTCCCCAGGGACACAGGGCTGCCCCCAGAATCACAGAGTGCGATGGGGTTGGAAGGGACCTCTGGAGATCATCTCCTCCAACCCTCCTGCCAGAGCAGGGCCACCCAGAGCAGGTCCCACAGGAACGTGTCCAGGGGGTTTGAATGTCTCCAGAGAAGGAGACTCCACCACCTCCCTGGGCAGCCTCTGCCAGGGCTCTGCCACCCTCTAAGTGAAGAAGTTCCTCCTCATGTTTAGGTGGAACTTCTCATGTTCAAGTTTGTGCCCATTTCCTCTTGTCCTGTCACTGGGCACCACTGAAAAAAGCCTGGCCCCATCCTCCTGACACCCACCCTTGAAGTATTTATAGGTGTTGATCAGATCCCCCTCAGCCTTCTCTTCTCCAGACTAAAAAGCCCCAAGTCCCTCAGTTTCTCCTCGTAAGGGAGATGCTCCAGGCCCTTGGTGCTCAGTCTGATGTTTAGGCAAGAAAACCAAGCCTGGGCAGGTGAAATGCCCTGTGCCCCACACAACCCCCAGCCCACGGCTTCCCACCTCCTCCAGGGGGGTTTCAGCCTCTCCCTGGGGGGCTGCTCCCAGCCTTTCCCCTTTTCTCCTCCCCGGGCAGCACCAAAAAACTTCAGTGTTTGGGTTTTTCAAGCTTTGGTAAAAGGCTTTCTCTCCCTTCGAATCCCCGGGTGAGCTCCTCACCTCCTTCCTCCCACCCCTGAGTCGGGGCTGGAGGGATGGAGAGGGGGGGTTTTGGAGGGGGAAGGGGGGTGGGAAAGTGCCAGAAATCACACTTCTTGTTTTAGCTCCGCTCAAAGCCGCCCGCCTTTCGGGCTCGTTTCTCCCCCTTTACGTCAAGATGCCGCTACGGCATCTGCTGCCGGCGCCGGCGGGGGGGGTTTCCTGCCAAAGACAAGAAAAAAAAAGGCAAAGGGAAGGGGGGTTTGGCTTTGTGGCGGCCCATTTTCAGGCTTGTGGCCGTCCCCCCCCCTCCCCCCCCCCATCTCCTCCGGCCGGGAGAAGCCGGTGCTTGGCCTTCCTGTCCGTGCCTGCTCCCATCGGAAGAAAAATCCCAAAATAACTGGCTGGAACAATGTGGCCACCGTCAGGGTGAGGGTGGTGGGGTCTCAGCTTTTCCCCCCAAAGCCCACAATAAACACACACCCCCCTCACCTCGGAGTGAGTCTTCACTCTGCAGCCCCGTGGTTCATCGGATAAAACACATCCCAAAAATGCCCGTTTTTTGCTGCTTTCCTCAGGGAATTTAGCAAAAATGCTCTGCTGTTTGTCCTGGATGTCACCAAGGAGAAAGGGGGAACAAGGGCTGGGGAAGGAGATGCTGCTCCAAGGGGATCTCTGTGCTCCCCAGGGACACAGGGCTGCCCCCAGAATCACAGAGTGCGATGGGGTTGGAAGGGACCTCTGGAGATCATCTCCTCCAACCCTCCTGCCAGAGCAGGGCCACCCAGAGCAGGTCCCACAGGAACGTGTCCAGGGGGTTTGAATGTCTCCAGAGAAGGAGACTCCACCACCTCCCTGGGCAGCCTCTGCCAGGGCTCTGCCACCCTCTAAGTGAAGAAGTTCCTCCTCATGTTTAGGTGGAACTTCTCATGTTCAAGTTTGTGCCCATTTCCTCTTGTCCTGTCACTGGGCACCACTGAAAAAAGCCTGGCCCCATCCTCCTGACACCCACCCTTGAAGTATTTATAGGTGTTGATCAGATCCCCCTCAGCCTTCTCTTCTCCAGACTAAAAAGCCCCAAGTCCCTCAGTTTCTCCTCGTAAGGGAGATGCTCCAGGCCCTTGGTGCTCAGTCTGATGTTTAGGCAAGAAAACCAAGCCTGGGCAGGTGAAATGCCCTGTGCCCCACACAACCCCCAGCCCACGGCTTCCCACCTCCTCCAGGGGGGTTTCAGCCTCTCCCTGGGGGGCTGCTCCCAGCCTTTCCCCTTTTCTCCTCCCCGGGCAGCACCAAAAAACTTCAGTGTTTGGGTTTTTCAAGCTTTGGTAAAAGGCTTTCTCTCCCTTCGAATCCCCGGGTGAGCTCCTCACCTCCTTCCTCCCACCCCTGAGTCGGGGCTGGAGGGATGGAGAGGGGGGGTTTTGGAGGGGGAAGGGGGGTGGGAAAGTGCCAGAAATCACACTTCTTGTTTTAGCTCCGCTCAAAGCCGCCCGCCTTTCGGGCTCGTTTCTCCCCCTTTACGTCAAGATGCCGCTACGGCATCTGCTGCCGGCGCCGGCGGGGAGGTTTTCCTGCCAAAGACAAGAAAAAAAAAGGCAAAGGAAAGGGGGTTTGGGCTTTCGGGCTGCCAATTCCCTCCGCAGAGCTGGGACCTGCCAGATCCTGCCATGGGACCTTTTTATCACAGAGTCCGGGGGGGACAAAGATGTCCCAGGGGACAAAGATGCCCCTCATCATTTGGGAGTTGGACTAGATGATCTCTATGGTCCCTTCCAACTCTAAAATTCAGTGAAATTCAGTGAAATCACCCATCCCTGCTCCCCCCATCACCTCCTGTGCTCTAAAATAACCAGGAGCTCAGTGGGTACACGGCTGAGAAATGGGGGGGGCTCCTACCCCAACCCCAAACCTTGGATTATTTCCTACATTCACCTGCAGGAAGGGGCTAAAAATAACGCAGAGAAAAGCAGGCGGGCAGGGGGTTTGGATGAAGCCATGACCCTTTGAAAGCCCTTCAGAAACACACACACAAAAAAAAAGAGGGGTGGGGGGAAGGAGGGGGGTGTGAGCATCGTGCTGCCTTTGTGCCGAGGAGCTTTGATGGAGGGTTGGAAAGAGAGAGAGGAGGAAGACATTGTTCTCTCCCCTTTTCTGTTAAAAGCTTGAATCCCTGCTTCCCTCCATCCCCAGCCCAGCCCTTTCCCCGCCTCCGGCTATGGACCAGCTCCTCATTTTCCCCCCAAAATGGGCAAAAAAAGAGAGCTGCGAGTGCAGCATCACTCCATTTCGGGGCTCTCCACTGGGGAACCCATCCCTGAGGCTCCAAAAAGCCATTCCCGACGGGAAAGGGGCAGGATTTGCAGGAGCAGAGGGATGCTGGCACCAGGCAGAAGGTGTGGGGAGGGCTCCCTGCCCCCTATTCCTATCCCTCGCTTCCCGGGGATGGTCGACATCCCCATCGGGGAGGCAAAAAAAACCCTTTTCCTTGGTTTTTTCCAGGGGGAATTTGCCCAGTTTCAGGCTGAAGGGAGAGACAAGAGGGACCCCAGGGTGGTGGGTGACAAGGGAGAGGGGAGACCCCAGCCACGGTCACGGCATCGTCCCTCGGCTCCTGCCCTCCATCCCCAGCCCAGCCCTTTCCCCGCCTCCGGCTATGGACCAGCTCCTCATTTTCCCCCCAAAATGGGCAAAAAAAGAGAGCTGCGAGTGCAGCATCACTCCATTTCGGGGCTCTCCACTGGGGAACCCATCCCTGAGGCTCCAAAAAGCCATTCCCGACGGGAAAGGGGCAGGATTTGCAGGAGCAGAGGGATGCTGGCACCAGGCAGAAGGTGTGGGGAGGGCTCCCTGCCCCCTATTCCTATCCCTCGCTTCCCGGGGACAGCCGATATCTCCATCCACCCCTTTTCCTTGGTTTTTTCCAGGGGGAATTACGGGAAAGGGGCAGGATTTGCAGGAGCAGAGGGATGCTGGCACCAGGCAGAAGGTGTGGGGAGGGCTCCCTGCCCCCTATTCCTATCCCTCGCTTCCCAGGGATGGTCGACATCCCCATCGGGGAGGCAAAAAAAACCCTTTTCCTTGGTTTTTTCCAGGGGGAATTTGCCCAGTTTCAGGCTGAAGGGAGAGACAAGAGGGACCCCAGGGTGGTGGGTGACAAGGGAGAGGGGAGACCCCAGCCACGGTCACGGCATCGTCCCTCGGCTCCTGCCGAGGAGCTTTGATGGAGGGTTGGAAAGAGAGAGAGGAGGAAGACATTGTTCTCTCCCCTTTTCTGTTAAAAGCTTGAATCCCTGCTTCCCTCCATCCCCAGCCCAGCCCTTTCCCCGCCTCCGGCTATGGACCAGCTCCTCATTTTCCCCCCAAAATGGGCAAAAAAAGAGAGCTGCGAGTGCAGCATCACTCCATTTCGGGGCTCTCCACTGGGGAACCCATCCCTGAGGCTCCAAAAAGCCATTCCCGACGGGAAAGGGGCAGGATTTGCAGGAGCAGAGGGATGCTGGCACCAGGCAGAAGGTGTGGGGAGGGCTCCCTGCCCCCTATTCCTATCCCTCGCTTCCCGGGGACAGCCGATATCTCCATCCACCCCTTTTCCTTGGTTTTTTCCAGGGGGAATTCGCCCAGTTTCTGGCTCCCCACAGCACCAGGCTGAAGGGAGAGACAAGAGGGACCCCAGGGGGGTGGGTGACAAAGGAGAGGGGAGACCCCGGCCACGGTCACGGCATCGTCCCTCAGCTCCTGCTGACAAACCCCAACACTCACCCTCTCTTTTTCCATTCTTTATTCCAACAATCACATTCTCGCTTTGGTCACAACCTCTGAAAGGTGGTGTGGGTTTTGTTTTTTTTTGTTGTTTTTTGGTAGTTGTTGTTTTTTCCTCTTCTCTAATTTGAGCCCCCTTTTACTAACAACATTATAAAATTACACAAGTACAGTAACCGCCAGGCGGTAATAAATAGGTTATTTGTTAGTTCACAAAGTTTAAAGTGCTTTGAGAAGGGATGTAAGAAGCTCTATCCTAGATTTCCAAGGGGGGGGTCGGGAAGAGGGGGGGGGGGGGAATTTTTTTGGAAATGA